CCCCACAGACATGCCCACAGGCCAATATGGTGGGGGCAATTCCTCAGTTGATGTTTCTTCTTCCCAGAGGACTCTAGCTTGTGCCATGTTGAAAGAAAACTAACCAGCACACCTCCAGAGAGAAGTCTCACATTTTCAGAATTGATCTTCAGACATAGTTCTGACATAGTGACTGTGTGTCTGTGTGTGTGTATGCGTGTGCATGTTTGTATTTGTATGAGTTGAAACTAAGAAGGGGATCATGAGAAAAATAGAACTCAAGATAGGTAGGAAATTGAAAGTGTAATGAGATGACGTAACAGGAAAGCAGCAATGGGGACTATCCTGGGGAAAAAAGCAGCAATAATAATAACACATGTGGCTGTGAACAGAGATCTGAGTGCTGAGATTAAAGGTGTGTGTGCGCCATCACACTTGGCCTGAATTTTAACTAAAAGTTAATTGAGACAGCCAGTCATCGCACATGACTTTAATGCCAGCACTTGAAAGACAGAGGCAGAGGCAGGTAGATCTCTGTGAGTTTGAGGCCAGCCTGGGCTACAGAATGAGTTCCAGGACAGCCAAGGTTACACAGAGAAACCTGTCTAAAAAAAACCAAAACAAAAACCACATGATTACAAAGAAAGAAGACAAAAGGCTGGTGACATGGCTCAGTAGATAAGCATACTTGCTTATACTTGTAGCTTGAGGATCTGAGTTCAAATCTCCAGCATCCGCACACAAACAAGCATACATGGAAGCATGGCTGTACATACTTGTAACACTGGGGTGTGGGGACAAGAGAGACTCAAGAGCCTGGTGATTCAGCCAGCTGAACCAAATCAGCAAGTTTCAGGTTAGGTGATAGATCCTATCTCAGGGAAATATGGTGGAGAGTGGGAGAGGAAGACACTTGGACACCTTGCTCTGGACTCCTCATGTATGCATACACACCCACACCCTGTGTACATGCACACACACAAACCACACACCACTCACATTGTGGTTTAAATGTGAAAGAAGAGAAAAGCAGAAGTGGGAAGAACTATGGGAGGAAGGGAAACAGTTGGCAGCAGAGAAGGGACACAGGAGAGGGAAGAGGGGGAGGGCATCCGTGAGAACCAAGAAGAATGGCACATGTGGAAAGATGCTTGAGGAAAATACTTTCTGTGCCCTAGTAGATGTAACAGTCTTATTAAATAAGAAACACAGAGTCAAACAGAGTTAAAAGCCCAAGAGGTCAGAGCAGTAGCTAAGAGCTGAGACTAAAACCACCTTCTTACCCTTCACTAACACTGCCGTCCTTCCCCTGAGAAAGAGACCTGCTTCCTGCGTGTCTGTCTTTTTATTGACTTTCTGTTCTGCCTTCTCATTGGTTGTAAACCCAACCACATGACCTCCTCATCACTGCCTGTCTGTACAGACCTCCAGGTCTTCTATGGTTGGTATTGAGATTAAAGGCGTGTGTCTCCATGCTGGCTGTGTCCTTGAACACACAAACTCGACTGCCATGTGATCAGATT